GAGACTCCAACCCAAAAAAAAAAAAAAAAGAGTTACTGGATAAAAAGTAACAATTGAGAAACTCAAAAAGCCAGCCTCCACAACAGGAAAAACAAAGTACTGGCTCTGGGGCCCAGGACAGGTGTTGCTTGCTGAGGGCCCATCCCCTGCTAGGCATCTTCCCACCCAACAGGAGAAAGCCCTGCCCTGGGCTCCAGCCCTTGGTCTTTAAAGGGTGTTTCCTGTCTCCCACCCCCATCAGGGAAAAGCCCTTACTGATGTCCTCTGCGAAGATGATGCTGGTCAGGCGGGTGGGCTGGGTCAGGCGGGCCTGCACCACGGCCTTCTGGGAGCACTGGTGCTCATCCTGGCCCAGCGGCTCGATGCTGGCCACCTCCGGTCGGGTGGATGACCTGCGGCAAGAAGACAATGAGCATTTACTCTCTGGAGCTACACTGCGAGGACAGCAGGGCCCAGACGCCAGAGCTGTAGCTCCTGGCTGGGCACTGCCTGGGACTCGAACACAGAATTGAGGTGGACGGTCGTGCACCAGCTTCAAACCCAGAGGACACGAGAGGTCCCACCGAGGTCCTTCTAGGTAAGACCACCACAGCCTGAGAGCATGGGCCTCTGCACAGGGTCCCCTACTGAGGAAATCCAGTGAGAGGCCCCACACCAGAAAACAACCTCCAGGCTCAACAGACGGCTGACACCCAATCAGACGACTGCCACCCAAGACCATTCTAAGAACCCGATGACCGCCGCCCATGACCATTCTGCAGACCAGACAGCAGCCACCCAAGACCACTCTATGGAACAGACAGCTGCCATCCGTAACCATTCTATGGACCAGATGGCTGCCATCCAAAACCATCCTACAAACATCTCCAGAGGAAAACAGCAAAGGTCCAGCGAGGCAACCCAGGTGTCTCGGCTGACCTCTAGCCTAGCCCTGGCACACAGCAGGCTCCAGACACCAGCTTCCACCCCCAGACAGATTCTACAAACCCCAGAGATCCCTAGCTGTAACAATAAGGACAAGCACAAAGCCCTAGTATGCGCAGAGCTGACTTCACAGTCAAGGCTGGAGAAAAGGGGATAAACGCATCCACCAATGAATCAGGACGTCTATGAGCGACTTCCCCTGGGAAGGACAGCAGGAGGAAGCAACAGTGTGATGGGGAGCTATCGGTGTCAGTGCCTGGACTTCTCACCTACGACCAGCGATGGACAACAATCCACCTTTGGGAAACGGTGTGGTGTATCCCATTCAATGGCCCCGCGTCTGGGTTGCAGATCCCATCCCCCTCTCTGAGTCTCAGTCTCCTCAAGAATAAAATGGGGCCAACCCACTCTTTTCTTGCTCCCTCGCAGCAGTGGATCAATCTCGGGACAAGTCCCAGGCAATGAGGCAGGAGCTCGCCAATTCTCCCCCGTGTCTCCCAGCCCCTTCCCTGGGATGACACTGAATGCCTCGGAGCCTTCAGAGCCTGGCTTCAAACACACCTTTTTCCCATGCATACCACATTGCAAGGCTACGTTAAGGACCAACACAAGCCAGGTGTGGTGGCTCAAGCCTATAATCCCAGCACTCTGGGAGGCGAAGGTGATAGGGGGTTCAAGGCCAGCCTGGGCAACTTGGTGAGACCTCTTCTCTACATAAATCAAAAAATTAGTCAGGGGTGGTGGTGTGCGCCCACGGTTCCAGCTACCTGGAAGGCTGAGGCACAAGGACCACCTAAGCCCAGCAGGCTGAGGCCGCAGTGGCCGAGAGCATGCCGCTGCACTCTAGCCTGAGTGACAGAGTAAGACTCTGGCTCCGAAAACAAACACGGGCACAGCTCTAAGCCAGTGCTATACAGGAGATGTACACAAGCCACATTTTCATTTCTAGTTGCCATATAAAAAAGTAACAGGCAAAATGAATTTCTAACAGACGCCCTTTAAGGTGGTTTTGCACAGTGAAACCGAGCAAAAAGCATAGAGTTCCTCTACGCCCCTGGCCCAGGCCTGCACAGCCCCTCAGTACCGACCCCCCACCAGGGTGGGCCACGATTTAACAGCGGAGCCTACATGGACGTCACGGTCACCGAAGCCCGCAGCTCCCAGAGGGCCCACACTCGGCACTCCTACCTGATGCATCTGGACGGAGACACACCATCACGCACTCACTCCAGGATCACCCAGGAGACTGCGGCTGCCCCCAAAATCCTCTGTGCTCCACCTACTTGTCTCTGCATCTTGATCCTAGTTAAAAAGCCGTACTTTAAAGAGTAACCGGCTATTTTAACAGGACATGTTATTTACCCAAATATCACGATCCTGACATGTGGCGCTGGTCACCTTTCAGGCACTCAGGCTGCTACGATAAAACATCATAAACGGGGCCTTATAAACAACAAAGGTGTCCTGCTTACAGTTCTAGAGGCCGGACGTCCAAGCTCAGTGGGCATACTGAGTGGCTGCTGAGGACTCTGCTTTCTGGCTCACAGGCGGCCACCTTCCCACGATCTTCACAGGGCAGAGGGGGCGAGGGAGCTCTGGGGCTCTCGTGCAAGGGCACCAACTCCATTTAGGGGGCTCCACCCTCATGACCTCCTCCCCTTGCCAAGGCTCCACCTGCCAGGACATGAATCTGGGGGTACACAGCCGACAGCGGTTCCCGTGGTGAGTGGCTCCAGTGTCGGCCCAGCTCCGAGGCCTCGCCTCCTGGTGACAGGGCCACACACAGAGTACTCTTCATGCAGAGCTTGGGGATTCCCTGTGACCTCTTCCAGACCCAGGCTGGCTCTGCTTTGGAGGTGGCTGGTGCTGAGTCCTCTCCTGACCTCAAGAAAGCCCCTCCTCCTCTTAGCACCCAGGGCGGACAACAGATCCCAAAGTGTGGAGGTAGACAGAGCAGCTTCATCTGGCTGCAGCTGCCCGGGAAGGCTGGCCTCTGGCCACCGAGGGAGGTTCCCTCCCCTCCCTCAGCCCCCAGGGCCGGGGCTTGAACCCCCGTGTCCCACTCAGCCAGCTGGCTACGCTCTGGCAGGAGGAGGGAGGCTCTCCTGCTGGGGTAGCTGGGAGGACTCACGAGGGCTTCCCCACAGACAGACTGTGCCATGCCCCCACCTGTGTCAGGGCCCTTCTCCCTGGCCTCAGGCTCCTCCCAGCACCAAGAGAGTGGGTGAGGCAGTTCGAGCTGGCTTTCCGTTGGCGGCACAAGTGTTCCTGTCAGTTATCTGACCTCCCTCTTGGCGGTCTAGCTTTGGGTGAGCCTTGAAAGGACACAAAGGAACCAGAATCCAGCACATGGGGTCCTCATCGATAAGGAGGAGCCCCCACCCACGCTGCCTTCCTCACAGGGTCTGTGTGACACAAGATAAAAAGCACATTAGAAAGTGCCCGACAGGCCGGGCTCGGTGGCTCAGCCTGTAATCCCACGCCTTGGGAGGCCAAGGTGAGTGGATTGCCTGAGCCCGCAGGTTCGAGACCCACCTGGGCAACTTGGCAAGGCCTCATCTCTACAATAAATAAAAAAAATCAGCCAGGCATGGTAGCGCACGCCTGCAGTTCCAGCTGCTTGGAAGGCTGAGGCGGAAGGATCGCCGGAGCCCAGCGGGTACAGGCTGTGGTGGCTGGGAGTGGCCACTGCACTCCAGTCTGGGCAAAGGAGTGAGACTCTAACTCAAAAAAAAATAAAATAAAATAAAAAATAAATAAAAATAAATTGCTGGGTAAGATGGTACACAGCTGTAGACCAAGTTACTTGGAGGCTGAAGTGGAAGGATTGCCTGAGCCCAGTAGGTCGAAGCTTCAGTAGCTGTGATCATGCCACTGTACTCCAACCTGGGTCAGAGTGAGACTCCAACTTAAAAACAAACAAACAAACAAAAACCACTGGAAACAAACATGTACATTGTTACATGATGGCTAATTTTAGTGGCAGGAATATGGGTATTCATTACGTTATTCTTTTTCTCCCCTATCACTCTAACTTCTAAATAAGAAGATCCTCACCCTAGTATTAAATGGAACTTAGAAAACTCCTGCTATGCCGTCATCTTTTTTTTTTTTTTTTTTTGAGTTGGAGTCTCACTCTGTCACCCAGACTGGAGTGCAGTGGCCGCTCCCAGCCACCGCAGCCTCAACCAGCTGGGCTCCGGCGATCCTTCTGCCTCAGCCTTCCAAGCAGCTGGAACTACAGGCACACGCTACCATGCCTGGCTAATTTTTTGATTTATTGTAGAGATGAGATCTCGCCAAGTTGCCCAGGCGGGTCTCGAACCCGCGGGCTCAGGCAATCCACCCACCTCAGCCTCCCAAGGCGCAGGATTACAGACTGAGCCTCCGAGCCCAGCTGCCTTCATCTTACAGATAGGTAAACTGAGATTCAGAAGGACAAGGGGTTGATTTAAGGCCAGGCCAGGCCACAGGTGTTCCTAGCCCAAAGGCAGCTTTCTGCTACCTGAGTCACCCCTAGACATACAGAAGTGCCCGAACACCTATGGGTTGTCTTTATATGTCACAGCTTCCTAGGATGGGCCCTAGAAAAAAACCTACAGGCCGGGCTCGGTGGCACAGCCTGTAATCCCACACTTTGGGAGGCCGAGGTGAGTGGATTGCCTGAGCCCGCGGGTTCGAGACCAGCCTGGGCAATTTGGCAAGACCTCATCTCTACAATAAGTCAAAAAGGCCGGGCTCGGTGGCTCAGCCTGTAATCCCGCGCCTTGGGAGGCTGAGGTGAGTGGACTGAATGAGTCCGTGGGTTCGAGACCCTCCTGGGCACGTTGGCAAGACCTCATCTCTACAATAAATCCAAAATTAGCCGGGCGTGGTAGTGCGCGCCTGTAGTTCCAGCTGCTCGGAAGGCTGAGGCGGAAGGATCGCCGGAGTCCAGCAGGGCGAGGCTGCAGTGGCCGGAAGCGGCCACTGCACTCCAGTCTGGGCAACAGAGTGAGATTCCAACTCAAAAAAAATAAAAAATAAATCAAAAAAATTAGCCGAGCATGGTAGTGCACGCCTATAGTTCCAGCTACTTGGAAGGCTGAGGTGGAAGGCTCGCCAGAGCCCAGCAGGTCGAGGCTGCCTGCACTCCAGTTGGGCAACAGAGTGAGACTTCAACTAAAAAAAAAAAAAATCTACAGATGGCCAGGTGTGGTGGCTCACCCCTGCAGTCCCAGTCCTTTGGAGGCAGGAGGATCACTTGAGCCCAAGAGCTGGAGGTTGCAGGGAGCTATGATCACACCACTGCACTCCAGGGTAGGTGACAGAGCAAGACCCTGCCTCTAAAGAGAAAAGAAAGACAAAAGCCTACATACAGAAGGCCCTGGGGACTCAGGATGGCTCTTTCCTGGCCTAGGAATGGAAGAGCTGGCCACCCGTGTGCTAGTCGGGAATGTGTCTCCTTCCAGGGTCTGGGAGAGCAGAAACACAGAGGGAGGGTGGGTATATCTTCACAGACACAGCGGCTAATCGACGCAAGCCAGGCAGAGAGACGGGGAGTGCAGGAAGAGATAAGAGGTCAGAACAGGAACAGCACCTTTCTCTAGAGTGCTGACATACCCAGGGACTATTTCTTTTTACTTTTTTATTTTTCTGAGTCGAATCTCACTCTGCTGCCTGGGCTGGAGTGCAGTGGCACAAATGCAATTATCATGGCTCACTGCGGCCTTGACCTCCTGGACTCGGGCGATCTTTCCACACCTTAGCATGCTGAGTAGCTGGGACTACAGGTGCCCCACCACACTTGGCTCATCTTTTAATTTTTCGTAGAGACAAGGTCCCACTATGGCGCCCACGCTGGTCTCAAACTCCTGGGCTCAAGCAATCCGCCCACCTCAGCCTCCCAAAATGCTGGGATTACAGGCATAAGCCACCGTGCCCAACTCTCAGGGACCATTTTTTCTTTTTAAATTAAAAATGATGTCATCCCGCACCTTTGGGAGGCTGAGGTGAGTGGAATGCCTGAGCCTGCGGGTTCGAGACCCGCCTGGGCAACTTGATGAGACCTCATCTCTACAATAAATCAAAAATCAGCCGGGCATGGTAGCGCACGCCTGTAGTTCCAGCTACTCGGAAGGCTGAGGCGGAAGGATCGCCGGAGCCCAGCAGGTCGAGTCTGCGGTGGCCGGGAGTGTGTCACTGCACTCCAGTCTGGGCGACAGAGTGAGACTCCAACTCAAAAAATAAAATAAAATAAATAACAAAACTGAACCATCGGCTCTCCTGAGATTTCAGCTGACTTCAGATCTTGGGACTTGGCAGACTCGAAACCATGTAGGCCAATTCCTTACACTAAATGTCTCATACTGTCAACAGCCATAACACCCTGAACATGTCCAATCTCGTCCAAATGTCTCATATACACACATTCACCCATTTACATACATATACATATATACAATAAATACACACACAGGTATGTGCCTCTATCATGGGTGCCAAAAAATGTATACACATTTTAAGAGAAGTTCGCCACCTGGGCTCGGCGGCACAGCCTGTCATCTTGGCACTTTGAGAAGCTGAGGTGAGTGGGTTGCCTGAGCCCACGGGTTTGAGACCAGCCCAGGTCTCAAACCCGTGGGCTACACGTTGGGCTAAACTTGGTACACGTTGGTCTCTACAACAAATTTTAAAAATTAGCTGGGCGTGGTAGTGCATGCCTGTAGTTCCTGGTACTTTGAAGGCTGAGGTGGAAGGATCACTGGAGCCCAGCAGGTCGAGGCTGGGGTGGCCGTGAGGTGAGCATGCCACCGCACTCCAGCCTGGGAAACAGAGATGCCAACTCAAAAAAAAAAAAAAAAACAGATGTTCACTATAATCAGAGGTATCTGGACATGGATGGTAACCACCCTGAGCATCTCTTGCAATTACAGAAGGCAAACATGACGTGTATTCATCTTTTGTTATCGGTATATCTTGAGTATTATAATTTTGTTTTTCATTTCTTAAAATGTGTATTCATCTTTTGGCACCCTCTGCATATGAGAGAGATGTACAGGCGCCATATATTCTATTGAATACATATGTGACTAGATATGGGACATATACGTCCTATCGGCTCTGTTTCTTCAGAAAACCCTGGCTAATCAGGGAGTGTGCAAGAAATGAAGAAGGCGATGGTGTGGTTACTCAAGCCTGTCATCCCAGCACTACGGGAGGCCAAAGCAAAAAGACTGCCTGAGCCCAGGGGTTTGAGAACAGCCCGGGCAACTCGGCGAGACCTCAGCTTCACGGTAAGTTAAAAAATTAGCCAGGCGTGGCAGCACATGGCTGTAGCTCCAGCTACTTCGAAGGCTGAGGCAGAAGGATCACCTGAGCCCTGCAGGTCGACACTGGGGTGGCCACGAGCGTGTCACTGAGCTCCAGGCTGGGCTCGGAGTCAGACTCCAACTCAAAAAAAAAAATAAAAGAAATGAGGAAGGAAACTGAGGAAAGTACTGACCATACGTTAAGCCCAGAACAAAATACGTATTTCTATCAACTCAGTGGTCCCCAACCTTTTTGGCATCAGGGACCCTGTGGTGTCCCCAACCAAGGGCAGTGCTGGCCTCTGACCTCCCCCAGTCACGCATCAGCAAGGACAGGGATTCCTCCAGGGTCATCAGAGCTGCCTGGGATACAGCACGCTCCAAGGCCAAGTTCCCTAGTGGAGGGGCCGGTGCCCAACCTGGCCCAGAAAGGGCTCTCGCTTGCCTGTCTGGGAATCCTTCCACCCGTGGCTAAGAGGTGCCCCAGACCACATAGGAGAGGGTGCACCCGGTGCAGGCCCAGGCCTAGCAAACACAGCAGGCAGCTCCAAGGTGCCCAGGGGAGACCTTCAGGGGCACAAAAGGAGAGGTCTGGGCACAGTGCAATACAATGGGTGCTAGCCGGGCTCGGTGGCTCAGCCTGTAATCCTGCGCCTTGGGAGGCAGAGGTGAGTGGACTGCCTGAGCCCGCAGGTTCGAGACCTGCCTGGGCAACTTGGCGAGACCTAATCTCTATGATAAAGCAAAAATCAGCCGGGTGAGGTATCGCGCGCCTGTAATTCCGGCTACTCGGAAGGATCGCCGGAGCCCAGCAGGTCGAGGCTGCGGTGGCCGGGAGCGGCCACTGCACTCCACTCTGGGCGACAGAGTGAGACTCCAACTCAAAAAAAAAAAAAAAAAAAAAATATATATATATATATATAGTGGGTGCTGTGGAGACTCTGCCTAGATGCTGTGTGCCAGGCAGGGCTGCAGGCACACCCTCCCCACCTCAGGCGACGGGGTGCTGCAACTCTTAATTTACCAGAGGCCAGGGAGGTTGCTCAACATCCCTCCCCCGCCCCCAGGAGAACCATCAGTTGCCGGGTAGTGGGTACAAAGCTCAGCTCTAGGCCGGGCTTGGTGACTCAGCCTGTCATCCCAGCACTTTGGGAGGCCGAGGCGAGTGGACTGCCTGAGCCTGCAGGTTCGAGACCCGCCTGGGCAACTTGGCGAGACCTCGTCTCTACAATAAATCAAAAATGGGCCGGGTGTGGTAGCGCACGCTGGCAGTTCCGGCTACTTGGAAGGCTGAGGTGGAAGGATTGCCAGAGCCCAGCAGGTGGAAGCGGCGGTAGCCGGGAGCGTGCCACTGCACTCCAGACTGGGCGACAGAGTGAGACTCCAACTCTTAAAAAAAAAAAAAACAGCTCAGCTCTTGGCCTCCCCTTGCCTAAAGGCAGGACAGCCTCCCTGCCCCACTCCCATCCCAACGGGGCATCTTCTTAATAACCCACAAGCACCAAGATCCTGTCTCAGACTCTGGAAAAACAACCTAAGCCACTCACTGTCTCCAAGGCACCGTAAAGCTCAGAACACCCCAGAAATACAAGCGCAGGGAGAGGAATAAACGGATGGCACAACGTCCATTCGGCCGAAGGGGCCTCAATCACTGAGGCAACACAGAACAACACTCAGGCTTTAATGCGAATTGTGGATGGCGGAGGAGGAGGGTGGCAGAGCCCAGACAGCCAGGCGTGAGGAGCTGTGGGGGAACAGAAGTGACCGAGGAACCTAAAGCACTGTGACCACATTGCAGTCCAAGGATGCAGATGATTTTCTTTCCTCTATTTCCCAGTTTTCTGGATTATGTCATTCTGTATAAAAATGGATACCTTTAAAAGGAGCTCATGAAATATATTCTATGAAGCATTCTTTTTTTTTTTTTTATTTATTGTAGACACGAGGTTTCGCCAAGTTGCCCAAGCTGGTCTCGAACCCGCAAGCTCAGGCAATCCACTCTCCTCGGCCTCCCAAAGTGCTGGGATGACAGGCTGAGCCACCGAACCCGGCCTGCAGCGTTTTCCTTTTTTCTTTTTTTGAGTTGGAGTCTCACTCAGTCACCCAGACTGGAGTGCAGTGGCCGCTCCCGGCCACCACAGGCTCGACCAGCAGGGCTCCGGCGATCCTTCTGCCTCAGCCTTCCAAGCAGCTGGAACTACAGGCGCACGCTACCACACCCGGCTCATTTTTGACTTATTGTGGAGATGAGGTCTCGCCAAGTTGCCCAGGCAGGTCTCGAACCCATGGGCTCAGGCAATCCACTCACCTCGGCCTCCCAAAGCGCAGGATTACAGGCTGAGCCACCGAGTCTGGTTATGAAGCACTTTCAATAACCCAAACTATCTCAAAGGAATCAGAAACTTGTCAAACCACTCCCGGCAATACCAGTTGGGAGATTCAGCTAGAATCTGGCAAACTAGCGCGAGGTTACAAGTCCCAGTCTCACTGCAAGTCTCACAGTGAGACAGCCCGCAGCCCTGGCCCCACCTCAGTCCCTCTGTGACTTTGCAATCACTTCCCTCTGAGGCTCAAACTGTCCCATCTGAAATGCGGGTGCGGGTGGTTTAGACTAGATGACATCTACAGTTCCCCTGGCCCTAAAACTGTCCCACTTTGATGCTATAAAATACAGAAACGGAAACGGTGAACTTGAAGCCCTGGCTCAGGCACGCAGTCATTTCAGTAAACCCAGAGCTTGGCAGCAGACTCAAAAGCCGAGCGAACGTTTTTGCGGCGGGGCCCAGCAGTGTTAGCTTTCTTGATTTTTCATCTCAGAAGCTTGACAATGAACTCCTTTGGTGAAGAGGCTGTCTTCCTCCCAGGTTTGGATAACTGTGGGTGGATATACAGCCTGTCTACAAGCCAGCTCTTAAAACCTCCAGAGATTATTCAAAATTAAAGCAAAAGATGGCTACGCTAGGAACAGCACTATTAAAAATCAAGAAAAAGTCGGGCTCGGTGGCTCAGCCTGTCATCCCGCGCCTTGGGAGGCTGAGGTGAGTGGATGGCCTGAGCCCGCGGGTTCGAGACCCGCCTGGGAAACTTGGCGAGACCTCATCTCTACAATAAATCAAAAAATCAGCCGGGTGGTAGCGCATGCCTGTAATTCCAGCTACTCGGAAGGCTGAGGCGGAAGGATCGCCGGAGCCCAACAGGTTGAGGCACTCCAGTCTGGGCGACAGAGTGAGACACCAACTCAAAAAGAAAGAAAGAAAGAAAGAAAGAAAGAAAGAAAACACCATCAGTGCTTGAGCAATGGCGTCTTTTCCTGCGAACTTCAGGGGAAATCACAAACCACCAAACACCTCTGAGAAGACACCTAAGTTAAGTAGTGACACATCTGCAATAACAACTTTGGATCAGACACTGAACAAGTTATAAAGTACTTAGTGCTTCTTGGATGCATCGGAGATTAAGAAGTTTTTTCCCTTGCTCCTACCAATTAAAATCCTCAGGGTCCTTCAGCTCCTCTCAGAAAAGAAAATGCAATTGGGGGAAAAAAGAAAAGTGTTGTTATTCTAGAAAAATAAAAGCACAACTCCAGCATCTCAGAAGAAGTAGCACACAAATACATCCAAAGGGACTTGAAGTCAGCTGTTTCTAACAACCGGCTTCCTCTTTCTTTCCATCTCTCAAGAGAACAGACAACACCAACAGAGAATGAGCCGCATCCTGTCCAAGTGTTGGCAGCTGAGCTTCTCACACAAGGCGAGGCCTTCAGCGGAGACACGGAACCTGAAGCCCAGGTTCACCTTTGACAGCAGGCCAGAAATAAGAGCCTGCAGGAACGTAAACACAAAGCTCCAAAAGCACCAGGTTGGCGCAGGTGTCCTTACTTCAGCTGGCCGGCCCTCACACGATAAGGAGGGATATCTCTAAAAGGAGCTCATGAAATATATTCTACGGTCAGCCTCGGTGGCCCAGTCTGTATTGGGAGGCCGAGGCAAGTCGATTGCCTGAGCCGGCGGGTTCGACACCAGCCCGGGCAACTTGGTGAGACCTCGTCTCTACAATAAATCAAAAATTAGCCAGATGTGGTTGTGCCCACCTGTAACTGCGGCTACTTGGGAGGCTGAAGAGGAAGGATAGCTGGAGGACAGCAGGTCGAGGCTGCGGTGGCCAGGAGCATGCTACTGCACTCCAGTCTAGTGACAGAGTGAGACTCCAACTCAAAAAAAAAAAAAAAAAGAAAGAAATATACTCTATGAAACACTTTCAATAACCCGGGCAGTGAAGGCACAGTCGGAGCTGTGGCGTCACACCCACATGACATGCACACAGCCCCATGCTCACGCCGGGCCGCGCACACGTGCCCTCTGGCTCCCTAATGTGGCCACAGTTGCTAAGCCTCAACCTCGACCCAGCCTTGAGGGACTATCATCAGCCTGTCATGCCAGCGCTTTGGGACGCCGAGGCGAGTGGATGGCCTGAGCACCCCGGGTTCGAGACCCACCGGGGGAACTGGGAGAGACCCGTCTCTACAATAAAACTAAAAAAAAAAAAAAATAGCCGGGCGTGGTAGCCTGCGCCTGTAGTTCCGGCTACTTGGAAGGCTGAGGCGGAAGGATGGGCAAAGCCCAGCAGGCAGAGGCTGCGGTGGCCGGGAGCGTGCCGCTGCACTCCAGCCTGGAAGACACAGTGAGACTAACTCAAAAAAAAAAGAGGAACAAAAGGAGCAGCAAAAGCTTAGCGGGAGGGTGGGAGAGGCGGGAGGCGCCTTCTTCCAGCCCGCAAACTGGCGCGGGGGGGGCGGCCCAGCCACCCCCTCCCCCAGGCCCGTCTGGCCGGGCGGAAGCCCCTCCGCCCCGTGTGAACGAACGGCTGGCCGCATCGCGCTGCCCGGGCCGGTCCCGGCCAGGCGCCCAGGTCACCGCAGTCCCGCAGGCCACACGCCCCACCCCGCCCACCAAGCCACCTCGGCGAATCCCCGAGCTCTCCGGGAACCCGGGAGGGAAGGGGAGAAACTCGGCCGAGTCCGGGGCTCAAAGGCGAGCCTGCCTGTGAGCAGCCTGCGGGAGCCACCGGCCCGCCGGGCCTGCCACTTCCCGGCCGAAAGCGGCCATCGGGGTTTCTTCCCGAAGCCGCCGGTCGAGGGCGGCCGCCCCCCGCGACTCCAG